CCACACCGATCACACCTCACTTTAATGGAGTAGAGAGAAGAAACGCTGCCCAGTTCTGTGTCCACAGGGGATGCGCTGGAGTAATAGAAGAAGTTCAAAGGCAAAGAATTAAAAGAGCAGTTTCATTAAAAAAAAAAAGGGGGGGGGGAATGAAAGTCTCCTCTTACTGCAGAAACCTTGTTGCTACCCTGACGTTGCCACCTTCTCCTCCCTGTGCCCAGCAGAGAGAAATCTGGAGACTCTTCAGGTGACTCTGGGTGCAGCCTCAGCTCCTTTTCCTTAGGCCACGGGACAACGCCCTCAGCCCACTCCACAGTTCCTCCTATGCAGGGTCAGACGCTCTCGTTCTCCACCTGTTCTCTGCAGGGCAGAGGGCAAGAAAGGAGTCGTCAGAGCTTTAGAGGCCCCGAGAGCTTTGCTGCAGACCTGTTTTGCTGTGTGCCACAGACTCTCGGCAGCACACAAACACGTGTGCTCACGCGTCTCTGGTTGTCTGTAGATCGGCTCCTCTGAACTAGACGGCTTCAGGCTGCCGCTCCTGCTCCCCTGGGCTCCTACTGTTGCACACTGGGCTGGGACCTGCTGCTGTGGATTCATCCCGGGCTCCAGGCTGAAGGGGCAGCTCTGGTCGACAGTTTGTAAGCTTTATAACCCAATGAGAAAATTCTCTTGCTTGGTACGGGTTGCTCCCCTAGCAGACCAGAGTGACAAGGACTCGGGTGCGGGAAGTGTCTTTGTAGGGGATCCCAGGTGGCCAGAGGGACATGAACTCGCCTGCACTTTTTGCCCAGGTTTGTGGTGAAGCCTCAGGCACTCAGCTTTGCAGGCCTGGAGGTGGGAGGCTGCCAGCACACACGGGAGCCCTCCCGCCATGCCCTTGTATGGACGGGAAGGTGGGCTCAGGGGATATGGCTTGAGAAGCCAACAGGCTCAGGTAGACTCTGTTAGCCCACGCCTGCACATCCAAACTCAGCAAGATGCTAACTGACCTCGCTTGAGTCACATCCAGCCATGAATCCACCACAATGGCCAAGGCCTTGGAGCACCAGGCCTGAGTCAAGTGCTCAGCCCTTGGGGGCACAGAGTGAGGACAGCCCCGCCTGAACCCAGGGATCTGATTCTCCATAAACCAGAGCTGCTGAGGATTCTCCAGTGGGTCCTGAGACCACACACAAGAGTTGGGGTTGTTTTTTTTTTTTTTGCTGCCCGCTCCACTGTTGGCACAGCATCCTGCCATGGGAGGCGTGTCTTGTGCTGTGCACCCCACCATGGGGCCTCTGGCAGTGCTGCATGCGGTGTGCGTCCTCCCATTTCCACGGCGTGGAAATAGCGGTCCTGGCACACACATGTTTCATTTAGGAGCTTAGATTTCCTTCGGTAATGTGTGTCACCCACTACCCAAAATTACAAACTCCCAGTCATCTCAGCAACCACAGCCTGAAGGCAGCAAGGATGTGCTTTCTGTTTTGGTTCCTAATTTTACCCTCAGGGCCTGCACGCTGCATTAGCTCACAGGGTGTCTGTGGGATAGATGAGTAAGCAGGTGTCAATGCATGCTTGTTAAACTGTACGTGTTAACACTGCAATTTGAAGGTAAGGAAAGTAAGAGTCAAAAGGAGAGAGAAACTGGCCTGGGGTGGCCCCAACCATGAGGGTTCCTGCCGTGGTAAATCTGCAGAAGGCGGCCTCCTCATTCCCAAGACCTTTGGTCGATACAGGCCCCCAATCCTGTGTCCATGTGACACTTACAGAAGCACAAAATCCAAACTGAGTGTGCAGGAACCAGCCACGGGCACCAGCCCCTCCGCCCCTCCCAGCTTCAGGGATAGCACACTCTGTCCTTGGAGGGAACCATGTCAGGGCTGCCACTTGCTTGCTGGGAGGCTGCGGCAGGCTTCCTGACCAGAGCAGGGGTCCTGGGCCATCTGAGGGGCAGGCGTCTTTGGAGGCTGGTGGGAGCAGCTCCCTGGTCCATGCTCTCAGGACTGGCCAGATGTGGAAACAGGAGGAACTGCCCAGGGGCTTCTTCCTTGCAGGGGCTGTGGCCTGCTTCCTGGCTGGGCACAGCCCTGTCTGTGCACAGCCCTGTCTGAATGGCTGCTGGCAGGGAGCTGATAGGAACTGTGGCTTCAGTCCCCCCCCCCCCGCCCCCCGAGGGGTCACAGATCCTCTGGAGGGTGGCTACTTACTTAACAAGCCCCTGGTGACTCTGCCCGCCTGCTTGCAGAGCGGCTGCACAGCAGCCGGCGCCGGCCAGCACGAACGTGGTGTTGGGGCACGACGGGGCCATGCGCTGAGACGCGCCGGCCATCACGCGCAGCTCGTGTTGTGTGGACATGGCCGCCTTCCCTTTCGACGCGCAGCGCTGCGGCCTGACGTTCGGCTCCTGGACGCATGGCAGGCATCAGCTGCACGTGCGGCCGCGCGGAGACGCAGCCAGCCTGGCCGACTTCGTGGAGAACGTGGAGTGGCGCGTGCTGGGCATGCCGGCGCGGCGGCGCGTGCTCACCTATGGCTGCTGCTCCGAGCCCTACCCCGACGTGACCTTCACGCTGCTGCTGCGCCGCCGCGCCGCCGCCTACGTGTGCAACCTGCTGCTGCCCTGCGTGCTCATCTCGCTGCTCGCGCCGCTCGCCTTCCACCTGCCGGCCGACTCGGGCGAGAAGGTGTCCCTGGGCGTCACCGTGCTGCTGGCGCTCACCGTCTTCCAGCTGATCCTGGTGGAGAGCATGCCCCCAGCCGAGAGTGTGTCGCTCATCGGTGAGCGCGAGGGGCGCGCCCGTGTGTCTGTGTGTGTGTGTGTGTCTGAGTGGTAGGGAGGAGACCCCGGAGCACGACCACTTTTGGAGACAGAGGGGGAAGGGAGTGGCCCCCTGCAGGGATAGCACCCCTCCCCACCCCAGCAGGAAGCAGTCAGTGTTTTCTCAAGGCGCTGGTGGAAGGTCCACCTGCTCAGTGTGGTAATAGTAGGCAAAATGTACCGAGAGCCAGCTGTGCACTGCTGATCAGCTCAGGTAAGCCCTCCCTGAACCTGTGAGGTCGATGTTCTGGTTTATGGCAAATGTGCCAGCAGGGACAATGACCCGGCCCAGGTCGTGCCCATAGCTGTTCCACAGTTACACTTTTCTTTCTTTTTTACTTCCTTTTTTAAAGATTTCTTTATGTATTTGTAAAGCAGAGTTAGAGAGGCAGAGGCAGAGATACAGAGAGGTCTTCCATCTGCTGGTTCACTCCCCAATTTACCACAGGGGATGCAGCTTCCTCAGGTTCTCCCTCGGGTGCAGGTGCAGCAGGTCAGGGGCCATTCTCCACTGCTTTCCCAGGCCATACAGAAAGCTAGACCGGAAGCTGAGCAACTCAGCCTGAAAAAGGCCCCCACATAGATGCCTGCACTGCAGGCTGGAGCTTCAACCCTCTGCACCACAGCACCGGCCCAGAGCGGCACTTTTAGGGACTGTGGGTGAATGAGCTTCTGGCTGTGACAACTGTAGCTCCTGAGAATGCACCTGCAGGAAACAGGGGAGGAGAGAACTGGACCCTTACCTCCCCCTGCTTCCATGCACTGGGCTTGGTGGGGTGGGGTCCTGAGAGCCTCCTGGCTTGTTCCTGTTTGTGCACATGGGAAGCTGAGGCTACCCAGTGCTTGTTGTAGGCGCTGCCCACTCTCTGAGTCTCTTGCAGGCAAGCAGTACATGGCCACTATGACCATGGTCACATTCTCAACAGCGCTCACCATCCTTATCATGAATCTGTATTCCTGTGGTCCCAGTGCCCACCCAGTGTCCACCTGGGCTGGAGTCCTCCTTCTGGGACACCTGGCATGAGGCCTGTGCGTGAGGGAATGAGGGGAGCCCTTAGGGAAGTCTAGGCCACCAGAGTCGCCCCCTAGCCCACAGCCACCTGAGGGAGGGGCCGGACCCCAGCAGGCCCTTGCTATGAGCCACGGTGTCTGTGCCGCCAGGAAGCCCTACTGAGCCACGTGGCCACCACTGCCAGCACCTTCCGCAGCTACCGACAGCCCAGTGCCTCCATGAGGACTGGAAGCGCCAGGCCCGCGTGATGGACCACTTCTTCCTGGGCATCTTCTTCGGCATGGCCTTGGTCATGAGCCTCCTGGTGCTGGTGCAGGCCCTGTGAGGGTCTGGGTTGGGGCCTGTGACAGCCGCAGCACTGCAGACAGGGATGGCCAAGGCCAGCTGGTGCCCAGCGGTCTCTCCCTGCTGCTCCTAAACCTGGGCCGTCTTTCCTGAGGACCAGTGCTGCTGCCATAGCCCACAGCGGAGCGCTTGTCTGTGCAGCCCAGCTAGGGCAAGTCCAGGGTCTGCCCTCCCCTGGTTCCTAGGAAGGAGGAAGTCCACGGAGGCTCAGGACCACGCTCAGTGGTGGGGATTGATGCGTTCAGGCCGCTGTCAGAGCTCTCGGTGGGAGTGAGGGACCACAATTGCCAGCTTTCCTGTGACTGGCGGTGGCTGTGAGAGGGACTGGGTCCTGCCTGTCCTTCCCTGGGACTCGGGGAAGAGTTTGGGATTCATTGCCTATTGCAAAGCAGGAGGCCACACCGACAATTGGCTGTGAAGCCCCAGCTGATAATAAACTGAGTGTGTACCTTGTGCCTGCCCCGTGTCCTGTCCTACCCTGGGGCAGTGGTGGTGGAAGCCATGGATGTGGCTTGTCTCTTTAGAGACAGGACCTCAGCATTCATGGACTGGAGCGGAAGTCACAGCTTTGTCCTCAAGACAGAGACTAGGGTTTGCTGAGCCCTGAGAGAACCTGCAGTTCCCTCTGCCCCTGTCTCCCAGGCTGGATCCAGTCCATGCCCATGCCCCAGAGTGACATCTGAGAACCTAAGGTGTCCAAGGTGAGCAGTGCAGGGAGCCGCTGTTCACAGGTATTTGTTCCTGCCTGGTTCCCACGTTTCCTGGCGCCATCTCTGTGTGTCAGAACAGTCCATGCCCCATTTAGCTCATCGTTGGCCAAGGAAGTAACACGTGGACAGGTGATAGGGAAGCACCAGGGCCCTGTGGGAGCACAGAGGCAGGGCCCCTCCCCCAGCAGGTGGGAGAGGTCAGAGAGGGCTGCTGGGAGGGGAGAATAGGAGCCTCCAGGTGGACAGGTGATGCATTAGAGGGACCCCACTCTCAAATCCCTTCAGCCCTGACATGAGTGGAAGTCTCTTCTACGAGTGAGTTGCCGTCTGTCCTGGAGTTTCTCACCCTGACCCCCTTTCACAGTCTCACACCTAGACCTCTGGATGAGGTGCAGTCCCCAAAGTGTCTTCTGATTTTCCACACCAGCAGGTCTTGCAACTTGAGCAAGAGAGAGCGAGCAAGCGAGATAGCTGGAGGTCCCAGCAGATGGGTGTGCCAGGGATCCTGGCTGTGTACACCTTGGGCGTGGCCAGCATCCGCAGAGTGGGCAGAGGCAGCAGGCAGGAATGTCCAGAGTCTGGTGGGTCAGAAGAGGCCTGGGCTTCCTGGGAAGGGCCCCACCGCAAGGAAGGCGAGCAGCAGCAGGAGGGACCAGGCTGTGGAGAGGCGCTCCTGAGCCGAGGCTGCAGACAGAGAGACAATGATCAGTTGGTTGGTTTCATAGCCATGAAATTCGCTGGTGCCCACAATGTGACAGGGGACAGAGAGGAAGGGAGGAATCGAGGGAAGCAGGGAGACAGGTGAAGAGGGCGCTGGGAGTCCCAGTCCTTCCAGAAGGCATCAGGTCCTTGCTGCCACCTTCTGTTGCCACAGGGACACCACAGGGTGGGCAGGACGTGGGTAGAGATGGGAGTGGGATCCCAGCGATGATGAATTTGGCTCATTTGGTAGGAGAGTTGCTGGGCAGGCCATAGAGGGGGTGGGGAAATGCTAAGCTATTCTAGTAGCTGAGATTACATCATCGGAACTCAGAGCAGAGACCTGGCTTCTGGTGGTGGCTGCCCCCTGGCCAGTCATTCCTGTGTCTGGCTCTCACTCTCCTGTACAATGAGGGCAGTCATGATTGGCCTCTTCCCAGTGTCTCGAGCTCTGAAGACATAATGAGGGGAGGGCCGGGAGTCCTCCTGGTGTGCGGTTTGTTTGGCCCTGTGCCAGGCTGTCTGAACTCTGCTCCTGGCTGTGTGGTGGGGCTCATGGCCGCTCTTCTCTTTCCCTGTGTGTAGGACAGAGCTGATGTTGAAGCTGCACCGTGGTGGTGCACAAGGATGACTCACAGGCTGTGCCCGAAGCTCTGGCTGCTACTGTGTCACTGAGTAGGGGCGCGGGGTGGGCAGGGGCTAGGTATCCTTCCTGTCCCTGCTCACTGCGCCACAAGGGAGAAAGGAGAAAGGAGAGGCCCAGAGCTGGGTAGGAGCTGCAGTTTCTCTCCTGGGAATGACCTGTCCCCTCCTTTACAACAACTAGCAAAGCAGGTGTCCCAGAGAAGAGAAAATTCTCAGCAGAAAGGGACTTGGCGATCATCTGGTCCTTTCTGCCTATTACACAGACAGGAAAACTGAGGCCCAAAGAAAGAATAGGTTGGTCATAGAGAAAAGGCAGAACCTGATGAGGGCCCAGGCCTCCAGCACCCATGGTCTGGCTTCAACCTCCAAAGGTGGGTCTGGGGGAGCTGTGGGGGCAGCAGCTGTGTGTTAGCTGCAGAAGGCCCAAGGAGGGACGTGGTGGGGAGCAGCCCACCCTTGGTCTCAGCACAGTTGGAAGCTCTCTGAGGCCTGACAGGGAGGGAAGGGCAGGCCCCACCACAGATGGGGTACTTCAGCCTCCACCACACCTCCACACGTACGAGGGGCTCAGAGACTTTGTGGAAAAGTGTAATGAAAAACGTTTAGTTATTTGATGCATATGTTTTTTCATGTGTGGAAAATGTGAATTATGAAAAACTAAGCATGGATTTCAGTTTAAAAAATACTTTGGGGGCCGGCGCTGTGGTACAGCATGTTAACGCCCTGGCCTGAAGCGCTGGCATCCCATATGGTCGCTGGTTTGAGACTCGCCTTCTCTGCTGTGGCCTGAGAAAGCAGTACAAGTTGGCCCAATTCCTTGGGCCCCTGTCCCACGTGGGAAACCCAGAGAAATGCTCCTGGCTCCTGGCTTCAGATCGGCACTGCTCCGGCCATTGCGGCCATCTGGAGATTGAAGCAACAGATGGAAGACCTCTCTCTCTCTGCCTCTCCTCTCTGTTTAACTCCAACTTTCAAATAAATACATAAATCTTTAAAAAAAATATTTTGGGTCAGGCATTGTATAGAGAAGGTTAAGCCAAGGCTTGGAAGGCACAATCCCATGTCAAGGTGGGCATTTGGAACAGCGGTTAGGACACTGCTGGGAACAACCAGGTTCTGGTCCTGGCTCCCCTCCGGGATCCAGCTTCCTGCTCATGTGCACCTGGGAGGCAGCAGGTGGTGGCTCCAGCAGTCAGGTCCTTGTCACACTCACGAGAGACGGGCATTGAGCTCTGGGTTCCCTTCGGCCTGGCCTAGCCTGGCTGTTGTGCATAGGAGTCTATCCGTCTCTGTCTCTGTGTCTCTGAGGCACAGGCGGCCTCTCCCGTGCCTGTTGCAGCCGAGGAGGGACTGCATTGTGCCCTTCCTGGGTCCTCCTCACTTCCACCAACTCCTAGAGCTCAGAGTGCATCCCCGGAGGGGGATGAAGCCACAGTTCCCATCAGCTCCCTGCCACTCGCCATACAGACCGGGCTGTGCCCAGCCAGGAGAGCAGCCCCCAGCCCCTGCTGGTGTGAAGCCCCTGGGCACATCCTCCTGTTTCCCCATCTGGCCAGTCCTGAGAGCATGGACCAGGGAGCAGCCTCCATCTACCTGACCACAGGCTGCATTTCAACTCTGGGGCACAACTTCTCCTGCCGTCTCACTTCACTTCCAACTCTAGCAACACTGCTCAATCCCTATTTCTCTCATAAGTTGTGCCTCCCCTAAACTAGGTGGGGGCTCTATTTATTTCTGGCACTGGTGGTGTGGGCGTCAGTACTGCAGTCAGAAATTAATTCCCTGCCTGCCCCTGGGACCACCTGCCCGTAATATGGTCATGGACCCCTACCCTGGTCAGGAAGCCTGCCACAACCTCCCAGGAAGCGAGTGGTCAGCCCAACTTGGTGCATCCAAGGACAGAGTGTACTATCCCTGTAGCTGGGAGGGGCGGAGGGGCTGGTGCCCGTGGCTGGTTCTGCTCACTTGGTTTGGATTTTGTGCTTCTGTAAGTGTCACATGGATGCAGGGACGGGGGTGATTTGCCAAATTCTTGGGAATGGGGGAGGCTGCACTCCGCACAGGTGTGTCTTCCTCACCTTTGACGTACTCGCAGTTGTATGAACTGTGCTTGCCCAGAGAACTGAGATAGATGTGGACCGGGCCCTGTTCTGCTCTGCTGGTGTTGATGACCTGGAAGGTCTCAAACGGGGGGATCAGCACCTCTGCCTGCCCAGGGAAGACGGAGTAGTTCTGGATCGGGATCCCGAGGCAGGTCCGGATGCTGAAGAAGGTGTCCTCGCCGAACTTCTGGGCCACATCTTTCTTCAGGGATGAAGAGGCAAAGCCCCCCAGCCTGACAGTGGTCCCAGGCCCTGATGTCCTGAAGCGCAGGCCTTTCACCCCCCGGAACACCTGACGGCATCTGGGCATTCGCTGGGCCCTGCCCAGCAGCTGCAGGGCCTCGGTCAGCAGGAAGTGCAGGGTCTTGAAGGAGAAGTGCTGGCAGTAGTGGGCCCGGGAGCGGCCCCCCTGGCGTACCGCGGTGTTGAACTCCCTGTAAAGGGGGCTGTTGTCTGTGTAGGCCAGCAGGGCCATCTCATGTTCATCCCGGAAACCCGCAGGAAAGGGGGGCAGCCTTGTGGGGCCCCGGGCCCTGCGCTCCTGCCACTTCTGTCTTGCCTCCACCCAGCCGTCGGCATAGAGTTTGTTGTCCTTGAACTCTGTGAGGTTGAGATTCGGGAGGGCAGCCATCGTGGCTGCTGCACAGCCAATGTACTGGTCATCAAAGGAGTCCAGGGCCATGTCCAACTGTGCATCCTGAGAGAAGAGGTCGGATGTTAGAGCAGGTGGCTCTGGGCCTGCAGGAGACAGAGCGGCCAGGATGCCTTGCGGCTTCTATTGCAGAGCATGGCATAAGGGGCCTCGACACCCCAGGAGGGCAAAAAGGCAGGACACACAGCCACAAGTTCCCTGGGGACCCAGCGGCGGCTGCGCCCTCAGGCCAGGTGCTCCCAAGGCAGGCAGCACAGGGCCCTTCATCTCTCTGCTCCTCCTTCCAGGATCCAGGAGAACCTGAGAGCTCGGGTGCCTGCGGGGATGGGGCCATTGGAGGACAGCCATACCTGAATTGCTTCCAGAAGGCCCAGGGACAGAAGGAGCAGATTCGCCACGGCAGGAACCCACATGGTTGGGGCCACCCTGGTATAGTTGCTGTCTCCTTAGACTCTGAATTCCTCACCTGGAAAATTACAGTGTTAACACGTACAGTTTAACAAGTGTCCACTGACGCCTCGTCTGTGCCACCCCCACCCCAGCACCATGTGGCACAGAGTGACACAAGGTAGAAACGCTGGCTCGGGGAGGGGCCAGGGGACCTCTCTTGCTGGAAGGGATGCGGGACACTCTCTGGAGGTGACATGTGACTGAGGCCTCGCAGGCTGACTAGGAGCACAGGCGTCAGCAAGTGGAGACGGGGAGAGAAAAGGTGTGCGTTGCGGGCGGGAGGATTTGGGGCAGCAGGAGAGAAAGGGAAGGCTGTGGCGGCAGGAACTCTGAGGACAGGAGTGAGTGCCGCGTCCTCTGGTCTGGCTGAGGCCCGTCGTGCAGGAAGCCGAGGGCACCAGGGGGCTGTGCTGGCCTCCAGGGCCAGGCGAGCAGGGCCGCGGTCCAGAGGTCCTGCCCTGTCCCTGCTTCCTGCTGTGCACTGAGCCCTCTCCTCCCCGCCCTCAGCTGCCTCCAGGAGGGGACAGAGAGACGCCTTGCTGTGTCCAGGGAAAGCAGAGTCCAGGGGCTGCCTGCTTCCCCAGGAAGGGAGGGAGCCACAGCCTCCTGCTCGCTGGGAGAGGCCAGGAGGGGCCCAGGTGGCCCATCCTTAGGTGCAGATTGGAACTCAAAGTTACTAGATCAGGGTTGCTGCTGCTGCTGTTTTCTGTTTAATTTAACAAAGCAATGGGTGCTTTCTGGGCAGGGGTGGCAGCACCTGAATCACAAAGTCCCTTTCTTCTTTCTCTCCCTATGTTCCCATTCACACTTTTTTTTTTTTTTAAGATTTATTTGTTGTATTTGAAAGGCAGAGTGACAGAGATCTTCTATGCTCTGATCCACTCCCCAGATGGCCACCACTGCTGGGCTGGGCCAGGCTAAACCAGGAACCTGGAACCTCATCCTTATCTCCCACGTGGGGAGCAGGGGCCCAAGAACTTGGACTGTCCTCTGCTGTCTTCCCAGGCACTTTAGCAGGGAGCTGGATTGGAAGTGGAGCAGCCGGGACTTGAACTCTCTGCCCAGGATGCGGTGCCAGCAGTGTAGGTGGGAGCTCACCCACTGCCGACAAATCAGCCACAGCATCTGCTTTTTATTTTACATTTCTGTACATGATTTTAATTTGTAACATTTGAAATGCTGAATTTAACTTTCTCAAAAGCAATACATGTTCATTGTTTTAGCATTAAATGGGCCAGAAGATTTTTCCTGACAGGTTCTGTCTAAGCTCACCTCACAGGCAGCAGGGTTTCCATCTTCTTGTGGATCCTTTCAAGTCCGTGTATGTGAAAGAAAACTCACTGGTCTTTCTGTTTTGTTTTTCTTTTACAGCAGTAGTAATGTATTCAGTAGCTCTTGAGTTTTTGGAATCGGATGAAAGCTGAAATATCCCTTCAGACAACGGAGATGGGCACCTGACACCAACGGCGCATGACGTCATGCCCCCACTCTCATCTCCTCTCACTCCCCCCGGCTCTGGAGGGACCGAGCTTTGAGACCTCAGCGACCTTCAGACACTGGGACTGTGTGTCTGTACATCTACATCATCAGACCTCAGATCCTGTCATTGCTGTGTACAGCTCACAGGTGAGAACCGAGCTGCTCTGCTCAGTGGGGTAGCAGCAGAGTTTACCACACCCAGCGGGTCCCAAACTGGACCTGGGATCTTCCCTCCCTCAGGTCCTGCTTACTCATCTATCCCACAGACACCCTGTGGGCTAATGCAGCGTGCAGGCCCTGAGGGTAAAATTAGGAACCAAAACAGAACGCACATCCTTGCTGCCTTCAGGCTGTGGTTGCTGAGATGACTGGGAGTTTGTAATTTTGAGGAGTGGGTGATGCAGGTTAAGGAAGAACACAAAGTGCCTAACCAAAGCACGTGTGAGCCAGGACCAGAGTGTCCATGCTGTGCTAATGGCACAAGACACGCCTCCCATGGCAGGATGCTGGGCCAACAGTGGAGCGGGCAGAAAAAAAAAAAAAAAAAAAACAAACAAACAAAAAAAAAAACGACCCCAACTCTTGTCTGTGGTCTCAGGACCCACTTGAGAATCCTGAGTGGCTCCACCAGATCTTCTCCTTTATGGAGAATCAGATCCCTGGGTTCAGGCGGGGCTGTCCTCACTCTTTACCCCCAAGGGCTGAGCACTTGACTCAGGCCTGGTGCTCCAAGGCCTTAGCCATTGTGGTGGATTCATGGCTGGATGTGACTCAAGCGAGGTCAGTTAGCATCTTGCTGAGTTTGGATGTGCAGGCGTGGGCTAACAGAATCTACCTGACCCTGCTGACTTCTCAAGCCCTAATCCTGAGCCCACCTTCCAATCCACATGAGGACACGGAGGGATGGCTCCCATGTGTGCTGGCAGCCTCCCACCTCCAGGACTGCACAGACACCTCAGTGCCTGAGGCTTCGCCATCATCCTGGGCAAAAGTGCAGGGGAATTCATGTCCCTGTGGCCACCTGGGATCCCCTACAAAGACACTTCCTGTACCCGAGTCCTTGTCACTCTGGTCTGCTAGGGGAGCAACCCGTACCAAGCAAGAGAATTTTCTCATTGGGTTATAAAGCTTACAAACTGTCGACCAGAGCTGCCCCTTCAGCCTGGAGCCCGGGATGAGTCCACAGCAGCAGGTCCCAGCCCAGTGTGCAACAGTAGGAGCCCAGGGGAGCAGGAGCGGCAGCCTGAAGCCGTCTAGTTCAGAGGAGCCGATCTACAGACAACCAGAAGACGCGTGAGCACACGTGTTTGTGTGCTGCCGAGAGTCTGCGGCACACAGCAAAACAGGTCTGCAGCAAAGCTCCCGGGGCCTCTAAAGCTCTGACTACTCCTTTCTTGCCCTCTGCCCTGCAGAGAACAGGTAGAGAACGAGAGCGTCTGGCCCTGCATAGGAGGAACTGTGGAGTGGGCTGAGGGCGTTGTCCCGTGGCCTAAGGAAAAGGTGCTGAGGCTGCACCCAGAGTCACCTGTGGAAGTCTCCAGATTTGGCTCTGCTGGGCCACAGGGAGGAGAAGGCGGCAAGGTCAAGGGTAACAACAAGGTTTCTATTCTCTGGGCTGCAAGCAGAGGAGACTTTATTTTTAAGTGAAGCTTCTCTTTTACTTCTGTTCACTTTATTTTTTTATTACACAGGGCATGCCTCTGCGGACAAAGAACTGGGCAGTGTTTTTCTCTCTACTCCAGTTAAAGTGAGGTGCAATCGGTGTGGGAAAGCACACCAGTGTACACAGGGTGGTGAGCTTAGAAATAGGCAACACGTGTGTCCTGTGCTCCCACTCCATCGTCCCCCGCAGAGTGTCCTGGGGGCCACTGTTTGAACTTTGATGTCACGGTGGCTTTGTGCAGGGAGAACGCCTCGTGGGAGATTGGCCCTCTGACACATGTTCCCTGTTGGTACTCTCCCTACAGAGCAGACCCAAAGGCTCCTCTTGCTCTTATTGTAGGCCCAGGACGGAGCAGGTGCTCGTTAGTACATGGAGTGAATGATGATCAGGTGTGGAGGGAAATGGGGCGTTCTGTCTGGGAGATCTGAACTTGACAGGGGCCGGTGTGCAGGAGGGAGCAGAGTGGACACTGAGAGGAGACGGGGAGAGGCGCGGGGGCTTTGAGTCAGGGAAAGAGGGAGGAGAGGGTTCTGGAAGGGTGAGGCCAGAGCTCAGGAGCAACAAGGCTGCTCCCGGGTTCCAGGGCTCTATGCGTTAGGCCTTGGGTTCCTGGAGATTTCCTGACATCTTGGGATTAAGTCCTCCCCTGGCTGAGTCTAGCTGGGATGGAGGGTGGGGGATGGGGGAGAGTTTATGTCCCATTGGGAGTCTGGAGTCTCCTGTGCTATGCTCTCCCCATACTCACTCGGCCACCCAGGGTGTCACCTGGGAATCCATTCCTTCCATCATTCAGCAAACGTCAGTGTAGTTGACCACTAGCTCTGGGCATGGGACAGGGCCCTCCTAAGACCCCTGCCCTTTGCTCACCCCCACGCCCTGCCCTGCTCAGGTCTGGGGCAGCCCTCACTGTCCCCAGGGAGAGCAGCGGCAGCAGTGTCTGTGAGGCCCAGCTCTGGCCACGCTCTCTGCCTGTGCAGAACCTCTCTGTTCCACAGCGGAGCCTGAGAAATCTCTAAATGCAGAGTGAACATGGAGAGATGAAGTGATGAGGGCAGAGGTAGTCCCATCTAGGTAGAGCAGCAAACCCAGAACAGTCCCTGAACCAAGCACACGTCCCTCCACAGCCGCTTAGCCCGGCCTGTGAGTGCTCTGTGCACTGCCCTGCCTCAGCTTGGTGGCTCAGCCCCAGCGCCTGTGTGGCTGCTGCTTACAGAACAAACTCCCAGCCCCACCAGGCTCTGTCCTCCCTGTGGTCCTGCACTCATCGCATCGCCTCTTCTCGGAAACCCCCTCTCCCAGAAGCCTCTGACCTTTCTGGGCTATTACTGGGTTTGGCCCTCAGTGTTAGTTTCTTAGGTTCAAGACCAGGCATGTCCCATTCTGTATCCCATTCTGTGTCCTGGGGACTCAGCCCAAGGCCAGGCACAGGTGGGACCCAGAATGCTGCTGAGACTTTCTGGGCCTAGTGAATAGTGTAGACTATTGCAGAGCAGGGAGACTGCTGGCCTGTGACCGGGAGGGGTGTGGAGTGGGGCCGCAGGCACAGGAGGCTGTGGGAGTGGAGGAAGCAGATGCCCTGGGCTCTCTGTTGCTTTGCACAGCCTTGCAGGCTCCCTTTTCTGCCTCTCATCCTATCCAAGTCAGTTCTCTTGTCATCTAGCCTGACCCAGGCCCTCACTGAACAGGCCTTTCTAGTAAGGCCACAGCAGTCTTTCCCTCGTAATTCACAACTTGCCAGTGGCTGAAACCTTCCTACATCTCCCAAACCTCTCCAACCAAGAGTTTCCTGAAACTTCCTCGTGACTCTTAAAACTCCAGCACTAATCCTCAAAACTTCACCTCTGAAACCTCTGTCTCCCCAGCCCCCTGTGTCGCTCCCCCTCTTCGTGGAGGAGCAACACAGGACCCTGCGCTGTTCTTTCGTCTGCTCGGCCCTCCCCGGGTTTGCTGCTGGTTCTTCCCGGGTTGGCTACTATCCCTTCCACCTCCGTGGAAGGGCAGTTCCCCCTGGCCGCATTCCCCACTTCCGCAGGGGAGCGGCACACCGCCGGCCGGCTTTCTCGGGGGCTGCACGGGTTCCCTTAGATGTTCCCCATAGATGTTCCTGGTGCATGCCGTCTCTCTCCTCCTTTATAGTCCTCCTCCGCCAATCCTAACTCGGCTGCCCACACGCCGAGTACGCTGCTCTCCAATCAGGAGCAAGTCCTACAGTTTATTGGTTGAACTGGAGGCAGCTGTGCGGAAGCTGTTTACTTCTCTCCCAGCGCCATATTGTGGGAGAGCAGATGCATAGAATAAGTCCTAATTCGAGTAACTTAGTCTAGTCCGGATTGCTCCCCACACCCTGGAGCAGGTTCTCAAGCCCCTTACCCAGAACTTGTCTTGGGCAGGTTAGCTGTGTTGGCCGCATGTGATGGTCACCAGGGGAGACGAGGGCAGGACCCCCCTTTTGTCTCAATTGCCTGCTGTCATGTAGCTCAACAGGCGCTAAGAGCAACATGTCAGAGCATGGGGAAGAAAGGAACACAAGGACACAACACTTTCTGTCAGGTAGGAAGTCAGAAATTGAGCCCAGGTGTGTATGATAAAGGCCCGAAGACCAGCACCCACTTCGGAAGCTCCAGAAGCCCAGCACCTTATACTTGGTCCTGATAACATGGGGCAATAAAATCTTCCCAGACGCCCTAAAGGAAGCCCCCCTACTCTGCCAGGGAGCAGCAAATCTGGGGAGGAATTTGCTAATTTTCACCCTACAAACCCTTCCACCAGGACTCCCCATCCATTGTCCTGGAGGAGAGGGGGAGGTGGGTAAATAGACTCCCTTAACTCCCACCCCCAACCGGACTGTGCCCTCAGCCCTCTGCCTCTCTGCTGAGTCGCCCACCTGGCCTGCCCAGGTGTATTCTCTGCACTCAACCATGTAACCTCGCTCTCCCCTAGTCTGAGCGACTGGGCACTCTCTCTCAGGTTCTGTCTGGAGAGGTGCCCATCCGTTCTTACGGATGTCCCTGCCCTAAGAAACCTTGCTATTTGCTTTCCACTAGTCTCTGTCTCACGCCTGAATTCTTTCTTGTGCAAAGACAAGAACCCTTGCACCCTTGAATTCTCCAGTAACATTTCCAATGAGAGATTTTATTGCTTACATACCAGGGGTTTTTTATCACACTACTCATCAGCATGCTCATTGAGGTCAATACACTTATTAGTATCAATATACTTATCAATCTATACTATTTAATACACTTATCAATAAACTTAACAACACTACTTAATCATGACTTAACTACTTAGCTTCTTAGCTTAACATAACTACTTAGCTTAACTACTTAGCTTAACATAACTACTTCTCTTCTACTTAACTTATCTACTATAATAACACTTAACTATCAGAGTAACACTATTTCCTTAATGACTAGAGGACTACTGGAATCAATACCATTACTATCAATAATACTACTTGAACCTATTCATTAATCCAGAGATCACAGTATACAATTTCAAAGACTATCCAATTATAATAGTATATGTGCATCAAGGGCTCCAGCATTATTTGCAGATACCTTGCATAGGATCAAAACATAGGGTCAAAGCATAGCTGTATTTTATAACACATGACTAACATTATTTGTAAAAGCTGCGTTTTCAAGGCTCGTATCATGATCACAAAAAAAGAGTGTCAGCGTTCAAGGTCCAGAGCTCCATGTCTCGGCAGAGAAGGATCTCGGATCAGTCACTTACAGGCAGGAAGTCGTGGGAAGGCTGTCACTCTGGGCAGTAGGCTCGAAGTTCCCAGGCGGATGGCAAGGCGAGAAGTTGGAGAGGTCCCCTGCCGAGAGGCCTGGTCAGGCTCTGCAGCCAGGCCTGGCAGTAAGCTGATAAGGGGTCCAGGCAAGGTGGTGAGGTGGCGTCTCGGCTGGAGTTTTGATCCCGCCTTATTTGTGTTTGAGCAGTCCAGCAGCGTGGGAAGGAGGTATTATCTGTAGTGCACTGTTATCTGACTGACCAGAGCTGTCTGCTCGGGGTGATTAGGCGTGTCTCC